AATAAACAATAATAACAATAAATAATAAACAATAATAACAATAAATAATAAACAATAATAACAATAAATAATAAACAATAATAATGATTGCAAAAGGCTTTCTGATACGTAATCAATGATGTTTGAAAATTTTAGAAAGACAATACCAACCTATTGATCGAATCATTGAGAAATTTCATCGTCGCTAAAATTCAGACAATCTATTTGTTTAGTATTATTTGGTAGGGAAAGAAGGAATGAACAGAACTGAGGCCTGAATCATCCTACTCCTCATACCATTCATGATCGTGAGGCACACACACACACACAGCTATACGAGATGCTAATTGCTGGCAGTTTCGACTCGCTTCATAATGCCAAAAGTAAACATTAATGAGCACAAACATCATTGAGAGATGTTGGAGAGTGTGTCCCATCCGAAGAGAAGCTACCGGACAGAGACGAGAAGCTTACCATTTACCATCTTACAGAACAATATTCTTGCTAGAAGGAGAAAGATGCATGCTATAGTTGGTTAGTGATCATCATTTGACTGTAACGACGAAATACTTCAAAAATGAGCACCGATAGGCTTATCCATCGGCTATCACAGTTATAACGATTATTTTTATGGAATGGACATTGCTCTAAGTTAGCATCCATTGTTGATTGATCATGGAAAATATGCTTTCGTTGATTCATATTTTGAGAAATTTAAGGAACCGATAGTACTTCTTCAGAATTAATGGGAAATATTGTATAAAGTTAGCTCAACCAGACAGTCAATTACTTTGATGATATAAGTTTCATGATAAGTTGGAATTATTTTGATGATAAGTTAATAAGTAGAAAAAAAAGATTCATCGGCTATCACAGTTATAACGATCATTTTTGTGAAATTGATATTATTATAAGCTGGCAATAGTTTGTATAGGAAAAATGTCAAAGATTCATTATCAAGTGTATTTGTTATGGAATATATCGGAAAGTAAATATAAGATATCGATTTATAGACATTTGAAAGAAAGTTTAACTTATTAGCTGATTCATTTTTGGTGATATCTGTGATTAGTTTAGTTTGATTATGGGAAAATATGCTTTCATTGATTCATATTTTGAGAAATTTGAGGAACTGATGGTACTTCTCAGAAGTAATGAGAAATATTACATAAAGTTAACTCAGTCAGACAGTCAATTACTTTGATGATATAAGTTTTATGATAAGTTGGAATTATTTTGATGATAGGTTAATGAGTAGAAAGGCAACGTGACTATTTAGTTGACAAGTATTGTTCATTACATGCAATTTCTTTGTTCTTTTCTAGTGCGGGACACATTAATTGCATTCTGTCCAAATTCCATCTCATCAATGGTCTGAGATTTCTCGAGATCACGTGTTTGAGGGGGTTAGACGTGTTGTTCATTAGGGTCGGTGCGTGTGACAGTTTTACACTGCACTCTACCGTTCACTCTATTGGAATTGTTGAGGAGTTATATTTCATTCATTCGGGAGCAAGATTTGTGTTTAGAAGCATCATTTATTTTGTTCATCGCGGAGCTATTTTCTAGAAAGTTGGTGCTCTTATTTGGATAATAATTAAGTTTAAATTGTACCGTTTGTTTGTTTTTCGCAGATTAACACATGTCACTATCTTCTGGATCGTGAAAAGTTATAACTCATTATTGTTGGATTATTTCTCTCATTTTTGATAAGCTAATATTGACCTTCTATTCTGGAAAAAATAGCTAAATGTATCATCAACATGCCGTTGCACTTTTTTTTGTTTCAAATTCTGAGTATTAATTGTGTCTTTACCTTTCGCAGGCCATTGTTAGCGGCAAAATGAACAGAAACTTACTGAATTTGACTCGAGCATTCACACGTCACTATTGCTTAAAACCACCAGGCCGTAAGAATTGGCCACGTCCGATGATGTTGGGACCACAAACATCCATGCATCCAAAGTTTCCGGGATGGTGTCTTTACGTAAGTTTAGATATGTTTTATTCATATATTTGCTTTTTTAGTACGGCACGTTTCTGTTAAGCCTCTTTTGGACTAAGGACACGCAGTCACATATGAATTGAAATATTCACGTCTTACATGGAACTATCAATTTCATAAAATCCTGTACCTTATTTTGCTTTCATATTGATTTTCTAAAAATATTGACAGCTGTGAACATACTTGTATGAGTGGATATTCCCCTAATATAATTGCTTTTCCGAGAAAGTTCTATTCTTTTTCATTTTAGTCATCTTAGATTTACTGGAACTGTATCGTTAGCTGGA